GGCCAGCAAGAACACAGGGGCTGCCTTGATCTCAGTTTTACTTACCAGGTCCTGCAGTCCTGAGTCTGAGATGCCTTATCACCCATCAGAAATGAGGCACCAGGGCTTCCCTGGTGGTGCAGTGGTTAAGAATCCGCCTGCCAAGGCAGGGGACACGGGTTTGAGCCCTGGTCCGGGAAGATCCCACATGCCGTGGAGCAACTAAGCCCGTGCGCCACAACTACTGAGGCTGCGCTTTAGGGCCCGCGAGTCACAACTACTGAAGCCCGTGCGCCTAAAGCCCATGCTCCGCAACAAGAGAAGCCACTGCAATGATAAGCCCACGCACTGCAACGAAGAGTAGCCCCCGCTCACCGCAACTACAGAAAGCCTGTGCGCAGCAACGAACACCCAATGCAGCCAAAAAAAAATAAATAAACAAATTTATTAAAAAAAAAAAAAAAAGAAAGAAAGAAAGAAATGAGCCACCAGCCCCTACAGCAAAAATCCAGCTATTCCTCCCTGGCAGGAAATTCTATGAAGCCCAACAGTCCTGGAAGTGTTTGCCTCCTTTTCCCATCCCGTCTCCTCCCACAATCCTTTATTGTGAAGATCTCACAACACCTCAAGACTATCATTGCAGAGATGGGGCCAATTTTAACCCCTGTCCATGAAGGAGTGACTCCTGACTGGAAGACATCCAAAGCTATCTGCACCCACCTGGACAGAGGTCCCCTCTGCATCTCTCCCTGATTTCTGGGCCTGACAGTGGTCTTGCTGGGCCAGACTTGTGTGCTGTCTCTACAGTTTCTACATGGATTTTAAGAGAAAATAAACATTTTTTTCCCATCATGTTTAAAGCAAGGTGTGAGACTATTAATTTTCCCCCTTTTGTTGCCCTATCAGAAAGCAGCTTTGAGGTCACGTGGAATGATGGTGGAGGGGCCCCCCCTTCTCTGCTCGGCAACCCCTAGAGAAAACACAGACTTCCCTCTGTGGCTTTTAGCTAAGGCCATGGGAAAAGGGGCAGCACTATGGTGGTAGACCGGGCAGTAGTGCCTGAGTTGAAGTGTGGGGGGGGAACCTACACTCCAGGTGCTCCCAGCCCTTACCCCCTACCAGGCTAACCTTGGAGACAACCACTTCCAAGTGAGAGGCTGTGGACAAAGGCATCTGGACCAACAACCCCTTTTATCTCTCCTCCAGCCCCAAACCAAGCCAGATTTTGGTGGTGGTGGTGGTGGGGGGGTGTTACAAAAAACCTCTCTCCTCCCTCTCTGTGGCAAATATTCTCTTGGCAAATAAAGACACTGGGGCCTGAGCAGACAGCCCTCCAGGGTATACCCACTGACATATAGCACTAGGGCCAAGAATAAATTTAGGGGAACACTCAGGAACCTGGGCCACATGGGCCCTGGGAATGTAAGATAAGTGAGAGTGGGTTTGGTTCAAAGGGCCTTACAACAATTACTGGAGGACTGATGTGAGAGTGTGGCTAAAAGACTGGGCACTGAGATTGAAGGGCTCAGGAGGGGCTGTGTTTAAAAACCCTAAAACCTGGTATTGGAAGGCCAATGGTGGGGCATTGCTAGTAACCTTATCCCTGTCCTTGGAGGGCCAAATAGCATGGTTTTGAGGTTTAGATCCTGAGACTGAAGAATCTGGGGGTGTGGTTAAAGGGACCTGGGTTTGGAACTGGAGGGTTAGGAAGGAGACATGGTTAAGGAGTCCCTCAGATTGGAGGGTGAGACTGAATCCTGAGTAATACTTAAAGTGGGGTATAGAGGATGCATCACAAGGATTCTTCAATATACGCAAATCTATCAATGTGATAAACCACATTAACAAATTGAAGGAGAAAAACCATATGATCATCTCAATAGATGCAGAGAAAGCTTTTGACAAAATTCAACACCCATTTATGATAAAAACCCTGCAGAAAGTAGGCATAGAGGGAACTTTCCTCAACATGATAAAGGCCACATATGACAAGCCCACAGCCAACATCATCCTCAATGGTGAAAAACTGAAAGCATTTCCACTAAGATCAGGAACAAGACAAGGTTGCCCACTCTCACCACTCTTATTCAACATAGTTTTGGAAGTTTTAGCCACAGCAATCAGAGAAGAAAAGGAATCCAAATCGGAAAAGAAGAAGTAAAGCTGTCACTGTTTGCAGATGACATGATACTATACATAGAGAATCCTAAAGATGCTACCAGAAAACTACTAGAGCTAATCAATGAATTTGGTAAAGTAGCAGGATACAAAATTAATGCACAGAAATCTCTGGCATTCCTATATACTAATGATGAAAAATCTGAAAGTGAAATCAAGAAAACACTCCCATTTACCATTGCAACAAAAAGAATAAAATATCTAGGAATAAACCTACCTAAGGAGACAAAAGACCTGTATGCAGAAAATTATAAGACACTGATGAAAGAAATTAAAGATGATACAAATAGATGGAAAGATATACCATGTTCATGGATTGGAAGAATCAACATTGTGAAAATGACTCTATTACCCAAAGCAATCTATAGATTCAATGCAATCCCTATCAAACTACCACTGGCATTTTTCACAGAACTAGAACAAAAAATTTCACAATTTGTATGGAAACACAAAAGATCCCGAATAGCCAAAGCAATCTTGAGAACAAAAAACGGAGCTGGAGGAATCAGGCTCCCTGACTTCAGACTATACTACAAAGCTACAGTAATCAAGACAGTATGGTACTGGCACAAAAACAGAAAGATAGGTCAATGGAACAGGATAGAAAGCCCAGAGATAAACCCACGCACATATGGACACCTTATCTTTGATAAAGGAGGCAGGAATGTACAGTGGAGAAAGGATAGCCTCTTCAATAAGTGGAGCTGGGAAAACTGGACAGGTACATGTAAAAGTATGAGATTAGATCACTCTCTAACACCATACACAAAAATAAGCTCAAAATGGATTAAAGACCTAAATGTAAGGCCAGAAACTATCAAACTCTTAGAGGAAAACATACGCAGAACACTCTATGACATAAATCACAGCAAGATCCTTTCTGACCCACCTCCTAGAGAAATGGAAATAAAAACAAAAATAAACAAATGGGACCTAATGAAACTTCAAAGCTTTTGCACAGCAAAGGAAACCATAAACAAGACCGAAAGACAACCCTCAGAATGGGAGAAAATATTTGCAAATGAAGCAACTGACAAAGGATTAATCTCCAAAATTTACAAGCAGCTCAATAACAAAAAAACAAACAACCCAATCCAAAAATGGGCAGAAGACCTAAATAGAGATTTCTCCAAAGAAGATATACAGACTGCCAACTAACACATGAAAGAATGCTCAACATCATTAATCATTAGAGAAATGCAAATCAAAACTACAATGAGATATCATCTCACACCAGTCAGAATGGCCATCATCAAAAAATCTAGAAACAGTAAATGCTGGAGAGGGTGTGGAGAAAAGGGACACTCTTGCACTGCTGGTGGGAATGTGAATTGGTACAGCCACTGTGGAGAACAGTATGGAGGTTCCTTAAAAAACTACAAATAGAACTACCATATGACCCAGCAATCCCACTACTGGGCATATACCCTGAGAAAACCAAAATTCAAAAAGAGTCATATACCAAAATGTTCATTGCAGCTCTATTTACAATAGCCTGGAGACGGAAACAACCTAAGTGCCCATCATGGATGAATGGATAAAGAAGATGTGGCATATATATACAATGGAATATTACTCAGCCATAAAAAGAAACGAAATTGAGCTATTTGTAATGAGGTGGATAGACCTAGAGTCTGTCATACAGAGTGAAGTAACTCAGAAAGAGAAAGACAAATACCGTATGCTAACACATATATATGGAATTTAAGAAAAAAAATGTCATGAAGAACCTAGGGGTAAGACAGGAATAAAGACACAGACCTAATGGAGAATGGACTTGAGGATATGGGGAGGGGGAAGGGTGAGCTGTGACAGGGCGAGAGAGAGGCATGGACATATATACACTAACAAACGTAGTAAGGTAGATAGCTAGTGGGAAGCAGCCGCATGGCACAGGGATATCGGCTCGGTGCTTTGTGACCGCCTGGAGGGGTGGGATAGGGAGGGTGGGAGGGAGGGAGACGCAAGAGGGAAGAGATATGGGAACATATGTATAACTGATTCACTTTGTTATAAAGCAGAAACTAACACACCACTGTAAAGCAATTATACCCCAATGAAGATGTTAAAAAAAAAAAAAAAGGATGCATCAAAGACTAGAGATGTAGACAAAAATAGAACAGGAAAGTGTCATAGAAGCCAACAGAAGGACACAGCTGAAGAAGGAAGTAGGTAGAAGCAAAGACCACTTATCCAAGAGGACCATCACTTGGTACCTCTGTTCTCAGAGGCTAGACCTCTGCCATCTTCACACTCACAGAGGGTGTAAGGGGTCAGAAGACTGTCCCTGAAGCCCTCGCAGAGCTCTAGCAGGGTGGTAATGGATGGTGGAGAGATTTGACTCCCAGTGTTTCTTATGAGGTCACCTCCAGCTAACACCTTACCCTTGCTCCCTGTCAGGCTTCTCTCTGAGCATGTCCTCTGCTCTGTGATAAGGAGTGATGTCCAGCTAAAGCCTCACCCACACTACCTCACAATCAAGGCTTCTCCCTTGAGTGTGCCCTCTGATGTGGCTGCCAACTGCCTTGTTGCTAAAGTCACACTCTCACTCCTCGCACACCTAAGGCTTTTCCCTGAGTGTGTTCTCTGGTGTCTGATGAGGGCTGACTTATGGCTAAAGCCTTGCCCACATTCCCTGCACACATAAGACTTTTCCCCTGAGTGCACCCTCTGATGCGTGCTGAGAGCTGACTTGTGGCTGAAGTCTCGCCCACATACCCTGCAACTCGTAAGGCTTCTCTCCTATGGGTATCCTCTGGTGTGTGTTTAGGATTATCTTGTGGCTAAAACCCCACCCACACTCCCTGCAAACAAAAGGCTTCTCATCTGAACATGTCCTGTGGTGTGTGATGAGGTGTGATTTCACCCTAAAGCCTTGGCTACAGTTCCTGCACACATAAGGCTTATCCCCTGTGTGAATCCTCTGGTGCTTAATGAGGTCTGACTTTTCACTAATGCCTCGCCCACACATCATGCAAAGGGCTTCTCCCTTGTGTGTGTGTGACTTGTGGCTAAAAGCTTGCCCACACTTCCCTGCATACATAAAGCTTCTCACCTGAGTGTGTACTCTGGTGGTTGTAGAGGGGTGGCTTATCTATAAAGCCTTGACCACAACTCCCCACATATATAAGGCTTTTCCCGTGTGTCCTCTGATGTCTGTTGAGATGTGACTTCCTGCTAAAGCTTCACCCACACTTTCTGCACAGGAGATATCTCCGCTCGTGACAGCCTGTGTCTGAAGAGGTTTGACTTCTGGCTAAAACCTAGTCCACACCTCTAAACCTGACTGCTCCAAATCCTGAGAGTTCTACCCTCTCAGGAATGTTGTCTGCTTCCCCAGAGCTTACCCTCTGGGCTGGACTGAGCTGTACCTTCAACACTTTGTTGCCTCCCTGAGAGCTTACTGGTGGTCCCTGGAGCGGGCTAGAGAAAACCACTTAAGTCCCCTTCTCATTTGTGCTCCAAAACAAAGGCGTAGATCCCATTCCTTGATCTTCTGCTTTGGCACCCCAGTGGTTTTTATCAGAATGTTGTTGCTGCCGCTGCTGGTGGTCATTTGGGCAAGGATCCCCTGGTTGGAGTTGATTTCCTGCACATGAATATGGAATAAGATGACTGCAGAGCTCATGGTGGCTGAGAAATTGCTGACTGTCAAAGGCCAGAGGGCAGAGGGCAAAGGGGCCAGGGACGGACTCCTGGCTTTGAATCTGCTGAAGAAAGTTTTCAGTCAAAGTAGTCAGAGGAAGGGCTCGCTGGGCTTTTCTTCCTTGTCTTATAGTAAGATCTGGCCCATTAATCATTCACAGCCGTTAATGTCTGTCTCTCCAAGACATGCTTCACCAGACCTATATTTCCATTCAACTTCTTTGGACTTTTTATTTGGAAATAATTTCAAATGTACAGAAAAGGTGCAAGAATAAGGACAATACAAAGAACAGCTGTATACCCTTTACCCTAATTACCTACTGCTAACATTTGTATGTTATGTATGTATATGTGTGTATACATATATGTATATATATTTTTTTCTTTGAATCATTTGAGAGTAAACTGCATACATCAATGCCCTTTACCCCTAAATACTTCAGTGTGTGTCTCATAAAAGTAGGGATATTCACTTTTTTTTTTTTTTTTTTTTTTGCGGTACGCGGGCCTCTCACTGTTGTGGCCTCTCCCGTTGCGGAGCACAGGCTCTGGACGCGCAGGCTCAATGGCCATGGCTCACGGGCCCAGATGCTCCGTGGCATGTGGGATCTTCCCGGATCGGGGCAGGAACCCGTGTCCCCTGCTTCAGCAGGCGGACTCTCAACCACTGCGCCACCAGGGAAGCCCGGGATATTCACTTTCATAACCACAATACAGTTATCAACTCTGGTAAATTTTTTTTTTAAATAAATTTATTTATTTATTTTTGGCTGCGTTGGGTCTTTGTTGCTGCATGCGGGCTTTCTCTAGTTGAGGCACGTGGGGGCTACTCTTCATTGTGGTGCACGGGCTTCTCATTGCAGTGGCTTCTCTTGTTGTGGAGCACAGGCTCTAGGCGCACAGACTTCAGTAGTTGTGGCACATGGGCTCAGTAATTGTGGCTTGTGGGCTCTAGAGCACAGGCTCAGTAGTTGTGGTGCATGGGCTTAGTTGTTCCGCGGCATGTGGGATCTTCCCAGACCAAGGATCGAACCTGTGTCCCCTCCATTGGCAGGTGGATTCTTAACCACTGTGCCATCAGGGAAGTCCTCGGCATTGACTTTTTTTTTTTTTTCGTTACGCGGGCCTCTCACTGTTGTGGCCTCTCCCGTTGCGGACGCGCAGGCTCAGCGGCCATGGCTCACGGGCCCAGCTGCTCCGCGGCATGTGGGATCTTCCCGGACCGGGGCACGAACCCGTGTCCCCTGCATCGGCAGGCAGACTCCCAACCACTGCGCCACCAGGGAAGCCCTCGGCATTGACTTTTAAAGGGAGAGATGATGAGATCTGCTGGAGCGCTGCAGTCATGGGGTGGGAGAGAAAGAGGACTTGAGGATGACTTCATGGTCTGAGAAACTGAATAAGCTGAACTGCTGTTACCTCGATGGGATAGTCTATGGAAGGGGCAGGTGCGGGGGCGGCAGTCATATTAGGAGCTTAGTTCTGGGCATGTGGAGACACTTATGGGACATCCAATACATGTCAAGCAGGCAGTCTGATATATATGAATGTAGATTTCAGGGGAGGAGTCCAAGCTTGGGAGGATGACATAGACGGCTTGACAAAGGTCTGGGACCCCTCGTGCTCCTCTGTAGGTAAAGGTTTTCCACAGTAGGGGCAGAATTTGAAAGTTGCTTCAACACCTGCCACAGTCTGGACAGGAGATCATGCTTTATGGGGTCACGGTCTGGCCCTCAGACTCACTGGGCTGGAAACTCCATCTTAACTGTGTCCTTCTCAGTTGCCCCACGAAAACTTCCGTTTGAACTCTGGTAAATTTAACATTTACATAATACTTTAACTATCATATATATTCCAATTTTGTCAATTGATCCAATAATGTCCTTTATAGCATTTTCCCTACAGTACAGGATTTAGTCTACTATCAGATATTACAATTAGTTTCCATGTTTCTTTAGTTTCCTTTAGTGTCTCTTTCATGAGACTGGCATTTTTGAAGAATAGGGTTCTTTTTTTAGGGAACATTCCTCATGTTCTAGAATATGTATAGAATGTTGCCGACATTTTCCTATGATTAGATTCAGATTATGTACTGTAGTCAGTTTTTACATTTTACATCTTTTACTTGAATCAAAAAAACCCCCCAAAAAACCCACAGCAGAACCTATTATTCTATATATTATTCCAATAAATAATCTTCCAAGTAAGTATCAGAGGCATCTTCAACTTTGTATCTGCACTTACACTAAAATTATCTCCTAAGCCATAACCAGTTACATTGACACACACAGCTACAACCGTTAATTTCCAACAAGAGAGAACAATCCTATGACCTACAGGGGAACGTACTTTGTGACTTTTCCTATGAGAAGAAAGAGTGGATTGATGTAGGAGTCACTCAGTCTGGTGTCTCCAATGCAGAAGGCAGCAGAGAATAGTTTAGCAGGGTTAAGTAACTTGTTCACAGTCACAAAGAAAGAAGAAACAAAACAGGGTTTGGGATGTGCTCTTAAATACTATACAAACCACAGATAACTCTGAACTAATCAGCATACAAAGAATTATTTTCTACTAAACCTGTCCTTAAGGGAAAAAAAAAAAAAAGCTTCGAAGCAAATAATGAGACTCTTGCTGCTTTGACTAGGTCTCTGGAGAAAAGAAGCCAGTGAGAATTAAACCCCCTGACATAGAACAATCTGTTTGGGGAAAAACTAACCAAATTTGGCCTATAGATTAAACCTGGGGACAGGAGGTATTCTGGGCTTTGACCACAGCCTAGGGCTACAAAGCCATCCAGATCTCCTGATCAGGAGATTCCAGACACCCAGTCCAACTGCACTGACTACTCTCAGGACAGAATGAGGGGTGGCTAAGCCATGCTGCTCCAGAGGATCTACTGAGACCAATCTTGCCAGGACCCTCATCCATCCAAAGGAAGTATTCCCTAGAGCCATGAGAGTTCTGCCCTGGGATCAGGAATAGAAGAATGGGATGGGAGCAGGTGACTAAAGCCCATTCCAATCTCTTCCTTCTTTATTCTACATTCCTAATAAATAGAACTCTTTACCTTATTTTTAAAAAACCCAAGAAACCCCGTAATGTTCAGAGTAAAAACCAAGCCCTGAGAGTGGCCCACTGGGTTCCACATTCTTTCACAACCTATCGGCTTTCTGACTCCATCTATACTCCATCCTTCATTCCCTCCAATCTGAGTCACACTGAACTCCCTCCTGATGCCTTGCACTGGCTGGTTCCGATGTCTGGAACACCCTTCTCCCAGATATACTACTGGTATATTCCAAGAACCCAGAACTGGACCTAACATATAATAGTTAATAAATACTTTTGCATGAATAAGTGATAGGAACAGAGTTAATTAAGAAAGAACTTAAAAGGTTAGGCAGAAGACAGACACGTTCTCAATACTGTCAGAATCAAAGGCTCCTTTTCATAGTCTATGTCTTGTAACATCTCATTTACTGTCTTGCAATGAGATTCATATTTAATAAAATGTCCCCATACACAGAATTTTTAAAAAAGAATGTAATGCCCTAACCAAAATATAAAAGAGAAATAAAAGCAAGTAATTTACAATAAAAAATTATGTATTTCAATATGAATTTCACAGGACTACATTAGGAGACATAATGAAGCAATGAGATGCTTACAGCTACAGGCAGATCACTGTGGACATGACAGTTACAAATGCAGACAGACATGGATGTGCCTTACTGATGACATGTGTATACTATATTGGTGACAGACATAGGTGTGCTGTATGGGTGGTAACTCAAACACTACAACCAGCAATGCCATTGGTCATGTGATGTTTTCTTTTTTTTTTCTTTTCCAGTCGTGCTGCGCGGCTTGCAGGTTCTTAGTTCCCTGACCAGGGATTGAACACGGGCCACGGCAGTAAAAGCGCCGAGTCCTAACCAATGGACCACCAGGGAAATTCCCATGTTCTTCATGCTGATGAACACGTCTGTTTTTTTTTCCTGCAAATGGCATTTTATCTATCTATCTATCTATCTAGATATCTATCTATCTATTTATGGCTGCATTGGGTCTTCACTGCTCCACGTGGGCTTTCGCTACTTGTGGTGAGCGGGCTCTAGGCATGTGGGCACCAGTAGTTGTGGCATGCAGGCTCAGTAGTTGTGGCTTGTAGGCTCTAGAGCGCAGGCTTAGTAGTTGTGGCACACGGGCTTAGCTGCTCCGCAGCATGTGGGATCTTCCCAGACCAGGGATTGAACCTGTGTCCCCTGCATTGGCAGGCGGATTCTTAACCACTGCGCCACCAGGGAAGTCCCTGGTGAACACTTCTTGATAAAGTTCAAAACTATTCTCCCTTGATTTACGATCTACTATGTAAAAACTACTTTAGAATATTATCTAAAATAGATTTATATTCTAGATTCAGAGAATTACAAACAGATCCACGGCCTTGAGAGAAAAACCAGAAGAGGGAGGAAGAACTGATATAGATTTAAGGAATATTTTTAAAAAATGGAATGTGTGGATCTTGTCTGGATCCTGATTCAAATTCTCAAAAAGACTTTTTTGAGATGATCAGGTAAATTTGAACATAGACCAAGTGTCAGATGATACTGAAGCCCTACAGATAATGTGGTTACATATAAAAAAAAGTCCTTATTTATTAGTTACATTGTGATATATTTAGGAGTGGTATGTCACATTATTTGGGATTTGTTTTAAGTAATTCATCAATAAAAGAAAAATATATAGAGAAAAGGAAGGATGAATCAAGTGCAGCAAAACAGTTTGAAGTATGAAATGGACCCAACAGGATCCAAAGTTTCCATGTAAAGATTAATTTACTTTGAGATAATTTTAATATAGTTCTCAGAATCAATGAAATGCATGAGCACAGAGACAGAGAAGAAGACCACCAGACGAAACAAGGTAAAAACAAGACCAAATTAGTTTGGCCAGCTGAAAGCAAATTTAAATGGGTGACTCTTCACTGAGACAGATGGAGAAACTAGGTCAGAAGCCAAATGGAGTGAAATTGGGCCATTTCAAACCGAGGAAAACAGTTCGTAACAGATCCAAGCAGACAAAAATAAATCAGAACTAATTAATTCATAGCTATGCCAAATAGAGAAAATTCTTGAAAAAGCTTCTGACAGAAATTTATGTGCAAGTCTGAAAACAGGACTCTTAAGAATGCAGGAATATCCAGAATAATTTTGTATTTACCATCCTAGACAAATAATCTGTTTCAGGTTTTAAATAAATGAAGAAAAATATGATTATAATATCAAATAACCTATAAAACACAAAACGGACAGATTTAATTACACTATAAGCTTTTTTAACTTCTAGGACACAGAGAGGCCTCTCTTATTACCTTCCTCTCCTCCTTGCTCTCTGTGCTCTGATCACGCCGGCCTCCTTCCTTTCCTATCTCGGGGTCTCAGCACTGGTTGTTCCCCAGCACAGAAGAGTCTCCCACTACATCCACATATCTAACTTCCTTACCTCCTTCAAGCCTTTACTCACACCCATCTCCTCACAGAGGCCTACCCTGATCACCCACCCCTGCCTCTACACCCCGGCACCCTGGATCCCCCTTATTCTGCTCTACTTATATTTGTATATATTATACATATTTTAAAACTATGTAGAGCTTATTATCCTCTAACATACATAATTTACTTATATATGCTATTTATTGTATATGTCACTATACTAGAATGACCCAAAAAATGCTTTATTGTTTTATTCAGAGATGTGTTCTAAGAGCTTAGAACATTGGCTGGCTATATGGTCAATAAATATATGAATGGAAAAATTAAGGAAAGAGAACATACCCTCACCCAACAGGACTAGATTCCTGAAATTCTCCAGCATCACTTCTTTGTACAGGTTCCTCTGCTCAAGGCTCAGTCTCTTCCACTCTGCCTCAGTGAAAATCACAACCACACCCTCGAATTTCACTGGTCCCTAAATCAACCAACAAATTCATACTCATCAAGTCACCAACAATTTTCACATGGAGAATGGAACTGGCTGTCCTGAAGAATCTCACTACATAAGTAATGGATCTGAGGGTTTGCAGGGTTGGGCATTACTCCACGCTTGGTTTGGTGTTATAACATGCAGAAAGCAGGACTAATCTATAAGACACACTCCTTGCCCTAAAACACTTACATTTTAATTGGGAAAATTATTTTTGAATCAATGAGAAAACATTAAAGCAGAGTTCAGGAGTATGAATGTGACAACTTATAATGGATGAAATTCGAATGGAGGGTAGAAGACAAGCTATAGAAGTAAGGAAAGGCAGCACAGAGGCAGGGCTTATACTGGGCATTAAGAAATGATGAAGATTAGAGAAAAAATAAGAGGCAGCTCGGACTATAGAGAAAAATGTGAGTGCCTCATGCCAGGTCTAGAATGAGTATTTGTTAACACTGATTAAAATATATTTCTCTGAACAAAAGGAGATAGTGCTGAGGCACGCCAAGCTTTATCAAAGGATTCAAACTGTATTCCTTCAGCCTGCTGGTTAATTGCCAAATTATCGGCCGCTCTGAAGGCTTACGCCTAAGAGCATTCATCAGGAGTAGACAGTTGCTGCCTGAACCAGTCATGTGTGTGGGTTCTGAGAGGTGCCTCTATGTGTGGGGTCTGGGTGAGATGGGGAGCGCAGGCAAGGAGGCACGGTGGGGCACTGTAGTGAACCAGCCTGCTCAAGACCTACTATGGGACTTCCCTGGTGCTGCAGTGGTTAAGAATCCACCTGCCAATGCAGGGGATATGGGTTTGAGCCCTGGTCCGCAAAGATCTCACATGCCGTGGAGCAACTAAGCCCTTGCACCACAACGACTGAGCCTGTGCTCTAGAGCCGGTGAGCCACAACTACCGAGCCCGCATGCTGCAACTACTGAAGCCCTCGCGCCTAGAGCCCATGCTCCGCAACAAGAGAAGCCCACGCACCGCAACAAAGAGTAGCCCCCACTCACTGCAGCTAGAGAAAGCCCACGGGCAGCAACGAAGACACAACGCAGCCAAAAGTAAATAAATAAATAAATGTATTTTTTTTAAAAAAAGACTTAACTATGTACTGAACATCTGGCCAGCTTAATAAAGGTCACTGGGTGTGTGCGTGCGCACACGCACACACACACACACGCACACTCACACACAGATTTCTCTGCTTGAGAAAAGTGATTTATAAGATCCCTATCACTGTATATATTTTGACATTGCCTTTTGTAAAGCCCTCCAACCTCTCGCTCAATGTGTAGGGCAATATTTGAATACATAAAATGGTTGGCAGGGAGGATGGCAAGTAGTGGTTCCTGAGAATGGTATTTCCAGTTAAATGAAGTTTAACCTTAACCTATGGAAAAATTTTTACGGAACATATTTACATTTTATGAAACTACATCGCAAGATCATCACTGTAAGAATGATATTACAGTCTTTATTTCAGAGAAAGAATACTGAGGCCCAGAGAACTTCCCCAAATGACAAGAAAACAACAGGACTGGAAAACAGTCCTTCACGGTTCCAGAGCCCTTATTCTCTTCACTGCAAGCTGCTTTTTCTTCCGTCATGCACCAGTTTTCTCTCACCTCTTTATTTCTTCCAAGTCTCAGAAACCTTGCTTCAACTTTCTGCATACTAGAACCATACCACATGCTTTCTCATCAGGTCTCTTCTTATTAGAATAGGTATATTCAGAGACATTTTCTCTCTTTAGTTATGCCTAAAAGGTGGTGTTGCCCTCAAGTCTCATGGTAGTCACCAAATTACTTACTTCTATTGAATTCAAGCATTATTTAATCCATTACCATCTGCTGCAACCTCTGGGTTGTCTGTGTCACTACTGCCTTGCCCTAGATTTTTAACTACCAAGCTCCTTCAGTCTGTGGAATTGAGGGACATGTGTACATCATTCTCAGCTATCTTTGATCACCCTGAATGCCTATTTTCTGACTTGCTTCCTCCTATTCTCAGGTCTATTTCAGTCTTCTATCTAGCCCACCTTCTAAGTGGTTTTTCACACCCTAGGAGTTGGTGATGTATACTCCAGGTTCTACAACTAAACTAATTAAGCTTCTGTCACATCAAAGACCACAGTTGGGGGGCTGAGGTGGTGGACTGAGCCACAAGGTTACCCAGCCAGAGCTTCTAGGCAGTCTTGCTTCAGAGCTAGATTCTAAAATAGATTTAAAATCCAATACACAGAAGTGGCAAAAGGAGTAAAGAATAATAATGATGCTGAATTGAGAGTGGGAAACTAGGTATAAATACAGAAATCACTGGGTGTGTGGGTTTGGGGAGGGATGTCAAAAACACACCCTGACAGCCCAGGCAGTCAGGCTTTGTATAGTGTAGGAGGGAAGACATATGTCTAGACAACAAGCTGGGACCCACAATTAGGCAGTCAAGACCTATGGGGGGAATGGCGTGGGGGCCTCTCAAGCTTTCCATGACCAGCTTCTCCTGGCATATTCTGGTCCTCATATTCTTAATAATCTTTCCCCTATTCTTCTTACATCAGGTCTCACACTTTCTCTTGCTCACACCTTGTGTCTTTCATGTTCCAGCAACTTCTCCATTTCCTTCTTGCTTTCTCTTCCCCCTCTACTTCCCTCACTTAAGCATAAGACTGGCTCAGCTAGAAGGAAAGCCAGGATTTTTGCACAATGGATGTGTTAAGAACCCAACCTGCAGAACCAAAAGCCACAAATCCAAATCCCAGCTCCATTACTTTATAAAATATGTAACCTTGGGTAACTTACATAACCTCTCTGTCTTAGTTTCTACATCTATAAAATGGGTTTGATAATGACATCTACTTTCAGGGTTGTTGGATTAAAGGAATTAATAAGTGCTTAGATCAATGCCTGACATGAAGTAAATATTTGTTATTACTATTTATTATAATTAAGCAGTATAATGTTTTATATTTAAGTGAGAACTGACTTTAAAGATAAATAATTTTTGGTTCTCAAAAAGTAATCAAACACTCCAGCCAGGGCAATAAGGCAAGAAAAGGAAATAAGAGCATAGACATTTGGTAAGGAAGAAACAGAACTGTCCCTATTTGCAGATAACATGGTTGTCTATGTAGAAAATCCAAAATAATCTACAAAATAGATCACAGAATTAATAAATGAGTCCATGAGGGCCACAAGATACAAGATGACCACACGAAAGTCAATCACATTCCTATATACTAGCAATGACCACATGGAAACAAATTAAAAACATAATGCCATTTGCAATCACTTCAAAAAAATGAGATAGCTAAAACATAAATCTAACAAAATTTGTACAGAGTCTTTATGGTGATGAAAGAAAGCAAAGATCTAACTAAATGGAGAGACACACCATGTTCACGGTTTGCAAGACTTGACACAGTGAAGATGTCAATTCTCCCCAAAATCACCTATAGATTTAAAACAATTCCTATCAAAATCTCAAGATTTTTTGTAGATACAGACAAGCTTATTCTACAGTTTATATGATAAGGCAAAGGAAGCAGAAGAACAAAGTGAGAGAGTCACTATACCTGATATTAAAATTATTACTTACTATTTGGTCACTACAATAACCAAAACAGCATAATATTGGTGGAAGAATAGACACAAATCAATGAAAGAGTACTGAGAACCCAGAAAGAAGCCAACATAAGTACATCAAATTGATTTTTGATGAAGGTGCAAAAGCAATTCAATAGAGGAAGAAGAGTCTTTTCAACAAATTGTGCTGGAACAACTGGACATCCATGGGTAAAAAAATTAACATCAACCTAAAACCTCATACTTTATACAAAAAATTATTCAAAATGGATATTAGATTTAAATGTAAAACTATAAAACTTTTAGAAGAAAATATAAAAGAACACCTTCAAGACCTAGGGCTAGGCAGAGTTCTTAGTCATGACACCAAAACCATGATCCATAAAGAAAAAATACATAAACTGGACTTCATCAAAATTAAAACTTTTGTACCACAAAAGACTTCCACACCTCTTCCAGAAAACAGAAGCAGGGGGAGCCCTTCCTAACTCATCTATGAGGTCAGCATTATCCTAATACCAGAAAAGACATTAGAATACCCCAAATCAGACAAAGACATTAGAAAGGAAAACCACAGATCAGTATATCTCATGAATACAGACACAAAAACCCCCAACAAAATACAAGTGAATCAAACCCAAAAATGTATAAGAAGAACTATACACCACAACCAGGGGGGACTTATTATAGGTTTGCAAAGCTGGTTCAACACTTGAAAAGCAATCAATGTAACTCACCTTAAAAACAGGCTAAAGAAACAAAATCAGGGACTTACCTGGCGGTCCAGCGGTTAGGACTCTGCGCTTCCACTGCAGGAGGCACGGGTTCGATCCCTGGTCAAGGAACTAAGATCCCACGTGCTGTGTGGTGCAGCCAAAGGGAAAAAAAAAACAGGAGGGTTTGGCTGGTGAAGCAAGGATTTTTTTTAGAGGGGTGAAACTATTCTGCATAATACTGTAATGGTGGATACATGGCACTATGCACTTATCAAAACCCCAGAACCTTACAGCACAAAGTATAAACCTTAATGTGTGTAAATTTTAAAAATTCATTTAGGAGGTCAGGGGATCCCAGGATGGAATGAAGAATGTGAAAAAAATGTATTACAAATATGTGAAATAACCTCCCTAAAGGTGGTGGAGAAAAAAGGAGCTAATCTAAGTAGCTTACTTTGGAAATGAGTGGCGTCTGTAGACAAAAGGAACTATATATAAATAAGTACTATATGCTAATTGATAAAGTTGTTTTCCACAGGGGCACAGGTAAACAATTCTGAAGTCACTATACTTATAAACCGGAATTGAAAAATTAAGTGAATGGATGGTGAATAGTGGAAGTCAGGTTTCTCACTGTTGGTGGGAGGTTATAAATAAGCAAGGTGAGGAGGCTAGAATGATCCATGTGGTAATGGATTTGTGCTGGAGGCATCAGAACAAACTCATCTTTAGCTTAATATAATTACATAAAGAAATATTTATAAACGAGTATATACAGAGATTAGTATACACAATCACATTTCTTTTCTCTGTCAGCCGAGAGGGCCTGGAATCAATGACACTCCAGTAGCAAAGGGCACACCTAGCATACAGATCTTGGTTTCTAATATCATTCTCCAATGAAAGGAGCAACGGCTGATCTGAGGACTGGAGCAGGACATAAACAAAATGAGCCTGGAGCATACTGTAGAGCCAGAAAGTAAGGAAGTACTTAAAAAAGGCAAAAAACCACAATAATGGAAGTACGTCAAAGGGACACAAGAACCAACTAAAGAGCTCCTGAAACAATATGAGCAACAAAATAAAGTGATACTGGGTTATAACCCAAAGTATAAAATACATAACCATGACTCATACTGATATAAATAAATGAATAAATCAAATAAATAAATAAATGGAGGAGAATAGACAAATTTCCCATGCAGAACAATTCCAAACAATTTATGTAGTTACTCGACCCTCCAAGAGGTAGACTGTACCCACGCTTCAAGTGGGCTCTGCATAGTGACTTCCTTCCAGAGTATAAGTTATGGGGAAGGCAGGATAGTAACTTTACAGTGTAGAAACCTGACAACCCTCCTTCTGCCAAATGATCAAGGTTAACATTAACAGTGGTAAGTAATGCTGATACTATCTACCATTGGCATGATGTGATAAGAAGAGTATTTCACCTCTGTGGTGTTCCTCCCAGAAAACTGTATCTCAGTCTAATCAGAAAAAACATCAAGTCTCACCCATACCTGATTTCAATGATAAATAGATGAGAATTTGGACTTGGAGTATGCTGGAATGGGTTAAAACTTTTGGGGCTGTTGGATTGGGGTAAATGTATTTTGCATGCTAGAAGGATGTGAATGGGGGGGACGAGGATGGAATGTTATGGACTGAACTGCATCCCCCCAAAATTCATAGGTTGAAGTCTAACCCTCAATGTGACTCCATTTGAAGACACGGCCTTTCGGGAGATAGTTAAAGTTAAATTAGGTCATAAAGTTATGGTGTCCTTATAAACAGAGGAAGAGATGCCAGGAATGTGCATGTGAACAGAGGAAAGGCCATGTGAGGACACACAGTGAGAAGGCAGCCATCTGCAAGCCAGGAAGAAAGTTCTCACTAGAAACCAACCCTGCTGGCACCTTAATCTTGGACTTCCAGCCTCCAAAACTATGAGAAAATAAATGTCTGTTGTTTAAGTCACCCAATCTGTGATATTCAGGTATGACAGCTGAAGAATACTAAAACAGTATCTCTTACTCAAAGTGACGCCTAAAATAATGAGGATTTGTACCTACTTTCTCTGGTTACAGGAACGCTGGATGTTTATTTTTGTAATAATAAATGTCCCAAATGTAAAAAAAAAAAAAAATTGGACAAATCCCAATTAAAGGACAATCTATAAAATATCTGACCTAAACACCTCCTTGGAGACATGACAACCAATGTAGTACGATAACCTGAATGGGATATTGGAACAGAAAGAGGACATTAGGTAAAAACTAAGGAAATCTGAATAAAGTATGGACTTAGTTAATAATAACATAAAAATTGGTTTATTAATTGTGACAAGAATACCATACTAATGTAAGATGTTAATAACAGAGAAAACTAGATGTGGGATATATGGGAATTCTTTTTATATACTACCCTTGCAATTTTTCTGTAAATCTGAAACTATTTTTAAATTAAATTTTTATTTTAAAAAACCTTAAAAAATAGTGTCATTCCAATACACTAACATCAAAACAAAAATGAAATACTGAGAGAGAAATTTAACAAAATATGTGCCGGACATGTACATCAAAAACTGTAAGATTCCTAAGATAAAGATCTGTATAAGTGAAGATATACTGTGTTGATGGACCAGAACACTCAATAATGTTAAGATGTTAGTTCTCCCCCATACTGATGTAAAAATTCAAAGCCATTCTAATCAAAATCTCATTGTAGGGTTTCCCTGGTGGCACAGTGGTTAAGAATCCGCCTGCCAATGCAGGGCACATGGGTTCGAGCCCTGGTCTGGGAAGATCCCACATGCCGCGGAGCAACTAAGCCTTTGCACCACAACTACTGAGCCTGTGCTCTAGAGCCTGCGAGCCACAACTACTGAGCCCACGTGCCACAACTACTGAAGCCCGCGTGCCTAGAGCCCGTGCTCCGCAACAAGGGAAGACAACGCAATGAGAAGCCTGCACACCACAACAAAGAGTAGCCCCTACTCGTCGCAACTAGAGAAAGCCCGCGCGCAGCAACCAAGACCCAACGCAGCCAAAAATAAATAAATAAATTTATATTAAAAAATAATCTCATTGGGGGCTTCCCCGGTGGCGCAGTGGTTGGGAATCTGCCTGCCAATGCAGGGGACGCCGGTTCGTGCCCCGGGTCTGGGAGGATCCCACATGCCGCGAAGCGGCTGGGCCCGTGAGCCATGGCCGCTGAGCCTGCGCGTCCAGAACCTGTGCTCGGCAGCGGGAGAGGCCACAACAGTGAGAGGCCCGCGTACCTCAATAAATAAATAAATAAATAATAATAATAATAATC